TTTCTTTCTTTCTTTCTTTCTTTCTTTCTTTCTTTCTTTCTTTCTTTCTTTCTTTCTTTCTTTCTTTCTTTCTTTCTTTCTTTCTTTCTTTCTTTCTTTCTTTCTTTCTTTCTTTCTTTTTGTTGTTGTTGTTATAGTTGTTACTGAATGGCAAATTCAACATGAAATGCTTGAGGAGAATAAAATTATTTGAAACTAAGGAATGAATTTCGCAAATACATCTTCCTGGAAAAAAGGTCAAGACATTCAGAAAACTACATATATTTTATCTCAAATTTCTGAAACAGCTGCTAGTATATATTTACTTCTCTTTTTCAAATGAAAATTTCATTTTTACCTAAATTTCAGAAGTGTTCAGTAACCTTCAGAATAAATTAAAAAGCATGGAATCAAATGCATGATTTACTGTTTATATTTCCTAACACATCAAAAATCTTTATCTTCAGGTCATCTTAGAATTAAACTTTTCCATCAGCTTTGTAGCTTTGTGATTGATTCAAAATTTCATTGTTTACACATCTCTAAATGTATCAGAGGAAATTACAGATAAGACAGATTATAAAAAGAAGGAATCAATGAGGTGGATGTAACATTTTTTGTCCTGCAACCTGAACTTGTTTGCTAATTTTATGAACGACCCATAATAATCCTAATATATTTTAGAATACTTCCTGTTAAAATTACTTGTCATTAACTTCCAACAAGAAAATAGACCATAAATTTACATACTTTTTCACAGGAAGAGCATGTGGCTTTTCAACCTAAGTTTACTCTTACTTCATTAAAGTTCCATACCATATCTTTAACAGTGTTACTACTCATGTGATGCTAATTCTCAAAAAGGTGATAAGGATGCAGTGGGGGTGGGGAGAGAGCAAATACCTTTCATTATCACCACCATATTATCATTAAATTAATACTCCAAAAAGAAAAGAGGATTCAAGCCATTTTCAAGACCTCCATACAAAACTTTGAAAGAAAGCAGTTCAAATATGCACAGGTTCCAGTGATGGTCAGGATAGATCAAGTAAAGCCTCAGACTTTTCTGAAAGAAGTGTTTCAAGGAAAACAAGTGTTCTTGGAAATTTTGTACTTACTTGTCAGACCCACTGTAGTCAGAGGAAGTAACAATATAATCTGAACAGACGATATCAAATTCTGTTTCATGATTTCCACGTCTCCCATCACATCAAGGACTCACTGAAAAACATGCAATCATGCAAAAGTAAATAAAAGTGTTAACATGTAATATATATCCATTTTGATCAAAGTCCTTTTTGAATTGCAGCTAATTGATTCTTGTTATTACTCAAACAGGTGTGGCAAAAGTACATTTTCACTTCAGGGGAAGAAAACCTGAGTTGGAGAGTAGTAAACAGATCTTTCTGCAAGCCTTTGAGCAGATAACAGTGCTGGGATTAGGTTTCTAGTGCATTAACTTATCTTCCACGTTTATTTGGCATCTTGGAACACAGAAGCTTTAGAGCTTTCTTAAAGCTCTAATGTCTGATGTTAATTTACCTGAGAGGTTCAGCCTTGTAATAACAAAAAATAGAATCATAGAATCATAAAATCACCAAGGTTGGAAAAGACCTAAAAGATCATCCAGTCCAACCGTTCACTTATTCCCAGTAGCTCCCACTAAACCATGTCCCTCAACACAACATCCAGCCTTTCCTTGAACACCCCCAGGGTCGGTGACTCCACCACCTCCCTGGGCAGTCCATTCAATGTCAAATTCAGACCATTCAGCCTGAAGAACGATTCTGTGTGTTCAACTCCTTGTTTTTACCGCATTTAATTCTGCAGGAAAATGGAAAAGGCAAAAAGAGAGAAGAAAACCACGGAAAAAGTCTTGACAATTAACTTATCAGGCGAAAATACCAGACAAAGAGCGATTATCGCGCCTCTTTCTTCAGCCTGTAAAGGCAGCGCAGAACTCAGGCGCCGTGCAGCGAGGCCGGAGGCAGCGGAGCCCGGTGCCTGCGGAGGCTGACACCGGTAGGTGTCCTCAGCACTCAGGGTATAGCTCAGGGCGACCGGGAGCCCGAGCTGCTCCTCAGTCTGCTTAGGCTGAAGAAAGGGCAGAATGAATCGAAGCAAACCTCTTCCTTTCCCCACCGATACACTTTTCTGCTTGGAGATGGTGAGTGGAGTTGGTAGGCAGCCTTACTCTCGGAAAATAAAGAATAAACATTAATTATCTGAAGGGGTAACTCCTTACATCAGCCTTCCACTCCTAACATGTACATCTGAGAGGTATTTTGTGCTCAAAACCATTCAGTGTAGCACAGCGTGAGAACAAGATGTCTCTTTGCAGAGGAAAAATTCTTTGTGGTTTATCAGATGACTCTATTTTCATTAAGCAATTCCTTTTCTGTATCGAGAAACTATAGCCTGTCAAAACATGAATCTTTTTCAAGTACAAAGGGAAACGAAGTATCAGTTAATTTCTTTGATACTAAAACATATTCACCGAAGACAAAGCACTTCTGAATATCTAGGCACGCTTATGCACGCATCTGAGCAATGCTCTGCACAGTTGCATCTGTGTTTGTTCTAAACCCACTCACAGCGATCTGAGTATACACAGCCAGTGCAGGGCAGAACTCTTTAGTAAAAACTCTGGTTTTGTGTAAGCACATGCAAATTTTATGACCATACGAAACCTACAAGGCACAACTGCTAGTATTCAGTTTCAGAAATGAGCTGTAAACATGGTGTTACGTAAAGCAGCGTATAGACCATTTTGAGCACTGAGGCATATTTTTCCCAAGTAAATGTGAAATAATGAACTGTATGCAGTAACAATTTCACGTACATACAATAACAGAGTTGTTTTATTATTATAAAACACAGGTGAACACTTGCAAAACAAGAACTTTCAATTTGAGATTCACACTGTAGTTGCCAATGGGGTATTGACAACATATTTTTTTCTCTTTTATTACAGAATAAGAGACATGTCTTCTCTGTGCAAAGAAACAGAGAAGCATTATCAACTGAATGAGAGCACTCTAGAAGTAAAATAGGATCATTTTGGAAACCAAAGACCCAAAGAATAAAATTAATAGTGATAGGATTTAATTAGTGCATTTATAAGCAAGTATTTTTTCTTGGGATCATTCATTATTTAAAAATTAAATGATCACAAATCACCTCTGTGATGTGGGTATGAAAAAGAACAGGAGAGATATGAGAAACGGGGATATGGACTTATTATTGCCACACATGTAGTAGATGGGTCATAAAAAAAATCCACATAAAATTCTGGTCATCTGTATGCTGAAAACAGCCTCGTTCCCTCTTCCTACAGAAGGTGGATAATCTACAGAAGTAAACAGGTTAATATGTTTAGAACAGATTTAGAAAACAGCTGCTAACACAAACAGGGAACACAAAGGCTGCCTCATGAGAGGCATGAAGGAGAGTTAAGGAATTGGCTTTTTATTCCATGGAAGGATCTGACTGTCCTCTATAAACATACCAGTGGATTATCATCAAAAGAGAGGAAAAAAAGAATGTATAAATTTTACCAAATGTTGAAACAAGAATGAATGGCTGTAATTAATTCAAAAGAAACTTAAAAACAAAAAACAAACAACAACAACAAAAAAACCCATCCTCACAAAAATGAGCTGCTGGAACAGGCTTACAAAACAAAAATTCCCATCTAGCTTTCCCAGAGAGTCTGATCTATTATGAAATATATATGACATGGATGTTCATTATAGCTGGAAAGTGGTCTTTATGATCCAGTGTCTGTTTTTCTGGTTGGTGTTTCAATGCCATTTAAATATCTTGAATTATTAACAGTTAGAAAACTGTCCATGAGCATAAGATGGCTGGATAGCCTATTTTACATATGTAATGCTTCCAAATGCATTCAAAATATTTTCTGTTAAAGAATAATCACAACATCCAGTTATCTGCTCTTAAATATGTGTTTAAAAGCATCTAAGAAAAGCATCATTCTGATATTTGCATTGCTTTGTGAAGGAATGTCAGCAGCAGCAGAGAAGTGGCCAGGAGGCTCCAGGCATATTAACCATATTCCATTTGTTCTGGAGCCTGCGTTTCCATGGTTGCTTGGTATTTGGTATTTTTGATTCAGATATCATTTGTAGGGCTTCTGAAGAGAACTCTTGTTTTTTAAAAATACTTGCTTTAATAGAAAAATAATGTCCACTTTGTCGTAACTATATCAAAAGTGTACCTTCCCTATATCTCCCTTGAAAATCATTTCCAAGAAGAATAAATATGGTTAATGAACATGCTGTGGGGAATGCCTCACTTTTAGAACTGAATACATTCTTTTATAAGGGATTCAGTACACACTGACTTCTCAGAATGTCATGCGAAACCAAGGGTACAGTAACCGATAATTAAAGAATCATATGCCTCCTTCTTGAAGCTTCTGGTTTAATTTGAACAAAATTATTACATTCTGGCATTGTAGTTGAATTTCTCCCTTTTAGCGTGGAGTTACACCGTTCTCAACAGCTGTGCATCACACCCCAGAAAACTGTGCATCTGGATGCAGACAGAATTTGGTACCAGGGTTTTAGAATGCACAGAAGTGGGCAGTGCTACATTTTACTATACAATAATTATTGTGTAATTAATAAAAATATGAAATTGTAGAGTTGAAAACTGCTTACAATGCTGCTAGATGAAGCTGAAAGTTAAACAGAAATATGCTATGAAGCAGAGAAGAATGTCCTCGCCCTACTTTACTTACAGCTTTTACATTCCTTGCATCTCTTTCTCACCTATGCTGATACATACATTTCTTGAAATTGGCAGAGAACTCTTTGTCCAGTTTAGCACAGATTGAAAGATTTCCTATCTGTGATATTTTCGGGCTTGCAGGAATAGGCAACAACTGTACAGCATCCACTCCCAGTGACATTCTGTCCATTACAAGCTTTGTTACCAGAGGAGTCTAAAGCCTGAAGTGTTTCAGCAATCTGTAGCAAACAAGACTCACATTCCTACTGCTTTCAACACTAAATAAGATTTGTCTCTGAGGCCTGGGGGAAGGCAATTTAAAGAATCTCAGAACACCACAGTAAATTACCATGAAAGGCTGAACTACACCTGTATGAAACCAAACATAAATAAATAAGAGAATAAATCTTTGCTGTACCATCTGGAATCCTACTGGGCATACATTCATCTACACAGTAGGTGTTGTATGACTGCGCCGTCCCATGCTGATTCTCACGTCAACATGGATGACATACGTCCCTAACCATGACTTAGGCACAGCTATCAGTAGATGTGTTTCTGAATGACAAGTGGTGGTTTGGGATTATACTGCAAATTAAACGTGTAGATGTGCATTGTGTTCTGAGCTCTGCTTTCCCCTTCTACATGACACCTAGCTGGAAGCCTCCAACATACAGGTCCCTCAGGCAACCTTCATGGAGGCATGTGAGCTGTGTAGAAGGCAGGTAGTTCAGACATGCCTCTGAACTGCATTTCTGCTGAATAATTCCAGGTAGATACATTTAGCATGTAGGTTTGTACATGCTAGCTTTGCAAGGATACTTTCTGTTGGCAATGCCAGGTTAGACATCAAACTGATTTCTTATAATTAAGCACTTCATATTTCTGTGCTGTTTGATCAGGAGACACCTCTAAGTTCTTTAAGATTTTATCTGAAAAGCCTACATTTGAGTTTGTAATATATTTATTCCTATGTTCCTCTCAAACAAATCTCATACTAATGGCCCTTTGCAATCCTTTTTCTTATCAGCAGTCAATATGTGATGATGAATGGAGCAACTTCTCTCACAGACAGAGATGAACTCAGTCTACAAGACTTACATTAAAAAAAAATAAAAATCACAAAAGCCCATATTCTTGAAAATGTTTCAGATACTGAACTATCTCTCGAAGCATTTAAGCACCAAACCTAACTTATGCCTACTGATTTTACAGAATTGAGCTTGGAGTTCCTTTTAAAACTCTCAACATCTAAACTGACAAAGTAGGTCAAGAAAACTGCAAGAAACCATCATCACCTCATCACCTGTCCTTAGCAGACTGGAAATGAGGATGGAAGAAAAAAAGGACTTTGCTAAAACTCTTACTAGAAATGCATCAAAAGCTTTTTTTTTTTTTTTTTTTTTTTTTTTTTTTTTTTTTTTTGCTTCTGAATATCACCAAA